AAAAAAAGAATAAAATAAGATAAATACTGAAATGGCAAATAAATGACCAGCACTTCTAACAGTTGGGGATAGGATATCACACAAAGTTCTAGTGTGTTGTGGACATGGATAATGTCTATGACACTTTCTGGTGGCCAGGTGTCACTTGTGGGACTGAGCTACTGCTATTTCCATGAAATCCACCCTGTAGACCCAGATGGAATCATGACACATACGGTACAGGAAAAGTCCATTTGTAGAGTGTGCAGATGGAAATATTTTGCTACTGTACACAAAGAATAATTGAAAGACTACTTTTATATACCTCTTATTCTCCTGTGTTTGTTTGCCCTATTTGGTGGGTTCTTTCCATTCTCATTCATGGAGCTGTGATCATTTTGCTCCCTCTCTAGAACATCATTTAGTAGTCTGTGTAGGCTTGGCTTTGTCATGAAATTCTTAAGTTGTTCTTTGTCATGGAAGCATTTCACTTCTCCATTATACTTGAAAGAGAGTTTTGCAGGGTATATCAGTCTAGGTTGTTATTTGTTTTCTTGCAAGACTTGAAGTACTTTGCTCCATGCTCTTCTTGACTTCATGGTTTGTGAAGAGCAACCTGCTGTTATTCTGATGGGTTTTCCTTTAATTGTGATCCATTTCTTTACTTTAGCAGCTTTTAGTATACTGTTCATGTGCTGAATTTCTTGGATCTTGAATATATTATATGTCTGGGTGTGTTTTTAATTGAGTTGATGTTATTTGGAGTTATATATGTTTCAGTTAACTGAATGTCAGGTTGTTTCCCATATTTGGGAAGTTTTCTGCTATTACTTTTGCCCATATTCTTTTTATATCATTTCTATTAACTCCTTCCTTCTCATTGATGCCTATTAGTCTCACATTGTTCATCTTTGCATCATTTTGCAGGTATTAAATTATTTTTTTCCTGCATTCTAGTTGCTTTTAAGAGATCTTTTCTTACCTTTTCACTAGCTGCAATGGTGTCTTTAAGGTCAGAAAGTCGATTTTCACTTTCATTCAAATGGTTTTGCTAGCTTGATGATTGAGGTTTTAATTTCCTATATAGCACTTTGAATCTGTTTCATGCATTCTATTTCTTTCCTATATTGCTTATTCAAGGATTCATTTTTATATTCTGCTCTATTTTTTTATCAGTGTCTTCTTTAGAAGCACTTAGTACTTCTTTGCTTATAATTATCATTTCTTTTTTTAATTCAGAAATTATTTCTGATCTGATTTCCTCTATACCTTTCTGCAGTTGTTTCTTTACTTCCAATGCTATTATTTCAGAGATTTCAGGTATGTGATTTCCAATTTCTTCTATGCTAATGTCTTCTGCATTTGTTTTGGGTGGGCTCGTGGCCTGAGACTGCATTTTGTTCCTTCTCTTTGTCATTCTGTATACCACTGTCTTCTGACCTTCGGTGTAGAGTTTAGATAGAGTTATTACCTTAGCACCAGGTCCGGATCTACAAAGTTCACACTCCTCCAGGTGGGTGTGGCTTGGGTCTGGCTGCTGTGCTCCACTTCTTCCTGCTGTAGACCTTGTAGGTAAACCCTCTGTGCCACTCTGGCAAGATGTTCTGCTCCTGAATCAGCTGGGAGGGTCTTGCCTCTAGCCTCTTTACAGGGAGTTTTGCTGAAGGGTGCCACACCAGGCTTGGGCTCTGGGTCGAATGAGAATCCGGCGGGCCCCGGGTGGTCTCACTCACATGCTGAGCCTGGGCTCTGGGTCAAATGAGGATCTGGTGGGCCCCAGGTCATCTCACTCACATGCCAGGTCTGCGCTCTGGGTTGATCCATATCAAAATTTGTAAGAGCTAAGCGTGGTGGCCCATTCCTGTAATCCCAGAAGTTGGAAAGCTCAGGCAGGATAGCTGCAAGTTCAAGACTTGCCTGGGCTACAAAGCGAGCTCAAGGACAGCCTGAAATGCATAGCAAAACCCTGTCTTAAAAAGACAAAAAAAAAAGTTCGTAAGGTTACTAGGGATGGTGGTACACACGTTAATCCCAGAACGCAAAAGTCTGAGATAGGAGGATCACTGCAAATTCTACATCAACCTGTCCTACACAGTGAGTTCAAAGCCAGCCTGAGCAATGTAATGAGACACTATTTTAAATAACATGATGATGATGATGATGTTGTTGTTGTTGCTGTCTAAATTCTCTGATCCAGCAATTCCACTCCTGGAATTAATCCTGATATACTGCTGATAAATAAATCATTTGTAATTTTTAAAGTACTATTTCTAACATAGTAACAGCAAAACATAAATTACAATGAGGAACTGGTAAATAAATATATTATGCAATACAGGAAAAATCCATTTAAGAATATGAAGCAGTTTTTTTTTTTTTTTTTTGGTGGAACCAGGGATTGAACTCAGGCCCGTGCGCTTGCCAGGGAAATGCTTATTCCCCTGAGCCATCTCCCTGGCCCCATGAGGTAGTTCTATATAAATTCATATGGAATGATTCACAAAATTGAGGAAGATGAAATTCATGAAAGGTAACTGATTAGCTGAGAGTTAGAGTAGGGTAGAAAGACCCATCAGTAACTTCTGAATTTTTATCATGCATAAATATTACAAAATCAAAATAATTATTTTTTAAATGTATCTTCTTCAGGCCTCAGCAAAATGTACATGTAAACAAAAAAGTTTTTCAAAGTCAGCCTGGAGAAAAGAAAAAGGTATTTCAGTAACAATTCTCAAAACCTAAGTAACTTTTCCAAACTAAAGAACAGAAGCACAAATTCTATTAATTTTTCAATCTTGACACCCAAGGTCTGCCAAAATTTGAAGGAAAAAGAGCCATAGGAAAATTATTAAAGAAGTAGTCAACTGACTAACAAAATCACAGTAAGATACTATATAATAGACTGAATTTTAAAACTACAGATGAAATAAAGGGTTCCAAAAACTCCTGAAAATACTTGTCTCCAGGCATGTTGCATCCTGAGATCCACAGCTTCTCACCCACTCTGATGGACCAGCACCAAATCTCCAGAAAGGGTACTCCAGCCTGACGCTTCTCCAAGTGAACTCTAGATCCATCTATGTCTTTAGCACATTTCCTCAGAAATCTAATGTGCATCTCAATCTTGCATTTGCAAAGTGATTTTCTTTCAAACTTATTCCTCACCCAGTTTCTTCCCTACAATGTTTATTCAAACAGATCAAGCTAGAAAACATTTCCATCTCCTTTAACTTGAAATCCAATCCATCACAGGCGCCCCTTAACTCCACTACTAAGTGTTTCCTTCTCCAGCCCCACATCCCCAACTAGTTCTAGCCTAGGCTACTGAAGAGCCGTTAGGCAATCTCCCTGTATCCACTCCAGTCCCATCTAGTCCTAATTCTTTGAATACTCTTTCCAAAATCCATGTGATATCTTGTCATTCAACAGGTAAAATTCACCCATGCTTTCTCGCTGCATCTGGATCTGAACTCCTTATATGACCCAAAAGCATCAGCTCCCCTCTCCAAACTCATACAGCCTTCTCCTAAAATCATTAATCTAGTCATGGACTTCACTCAGGTCTAGAGCAAGAGTTGCTTCCCTTAAGAGGGCTTCACAGCGCAGCTCCCTCATTCTTCATGGTTATCATTCCTGACTCTCCTCAGATAATTGGAATTTTCCCACTCAAACCCATACTTTTGGGCCAAACATATAGCTCAGCTGGCAAGCGTGAGGTCTGAGTTCAACTCCCAGAACCAAAAAGAAAAACAAAACCCATCCCTTTTCTTGCTTCCTACTGCAGTTACCATGATCATCTACCACAGAAACTCTGCGGGATAGTGTTGCTATCTCCTTCAACATGCAGTTACCTCCCCATTATGTGCCAGCTACATGGCAAGACACTAATTCCCCATCTCCAGTTCCACATATGGTTCAAGCAATCAGTCTCCTTAAAAAATACTAACAGCTAGTAATCCTAAAAACTGGGAAGGTGAGGCAGGCGGACTTCAAGCGAGTTTGAGGCTAGCCTGGGCTACACAGCCAGCTTAAGGCTCATGTGGACACTTTCCCAAAACCAAAACAAAGCACAGCCAGAGATTAACACGATCCGAAGGGCCCCAGCACAATTTCATCTGGAGAAATGCAACTTGTTGAAGCAGAAACATGAAGCTATAGTTATCTCGCTATTAGGAGAATGGAAGTGCTAACAGTTGAGACAGTTTCAGGGCACCAATCAAAACTTTCGTATTACGTAGGTCAATAAATCTTTTTTATTTTTGTATTTCAATACAGTGTGTACAGGGTCTTACCACATAGATCAGACTCACAGTGATCCACCTGTGTTCAGTCTCCCAAGAGCTGGGATTATAGATATGCACCACCACACCCAGTCTCAATCAATGTGCCCAGGGGGCGGGGCCGGCACAACACCCCAGCTGCTGCGTCTGCCTAAGCAGGTGCTATAATCAATAAATCTTTGTTATTGCTTAAACTAGCTTGAGTTTTCTGTTATTTTAAGCTAAAGCCTCCTAATCATTGGTCTCAGCATCACTGTGTTCTCAACCCCACCCACTTACCCTACCACTGAGGAGAAAAATGAAGCTGTTGCTCCCTCCCCTTGAGGGAGGATAGAAAAATAGAGATAACAGGAAGGAAACAAGGAAAATTGTAATTTTTAATTGTACCTTTAACACAAAAGTTACTCAAGTGTTTTTCCCTCCCAGGAAACTCATGCCAAAAATAATTTGTCAAGGGTTTTTTGTTGTTCTGGTGGTACTGGGGCTTGGACAAAACTACATCTCCAGCCCAGACAGGGTTCACTCAGCTGCCCAGGATGGACTTAAACTAGTAAGCTTTCAGCCTCGGTCTCTACAAACTCTTAAAGACAATAACAAAACAAAACAAAACAAAACACCTATAGATACACTGGCCTCTGGGCCTCACTTTTCCTCTGTGAACACACCATCCACTTCCACCTAAATGGCTCTTTCCCTTATTAATGAGCTAATGCCTTTCACCTGTAACTCAAACCTCTGCTTTGCATAGGCTTACAAATTACCCAGATTTCTAACCCCCAAATCAAATAAACATACCCAGCACCAGACCAAAATGTGTCTCACACTCTGATGGCCTGCACTCCCTTGTGTGTACCTTCTTCCTAAATAGTCTTTTCTGTGACTGCTGACAAGTCCTGAAAATTGTGATAGCAGTCACTGACCCTACGCTGTGAGTGGTGTAACTGAAGTTCACCACCTCTTCAGGAACTTCCTTGGACCAGGTCCATTTGTTAGCGGTTACTTAGAGCCATATCCTCAGGTTTACTTGCAAGTTACTGACTAAGTCTAGGAAGGTCATTTACTCTGGTACAAAGGATTTATTCAAAGCCACCTCCAAGATCACCATCTTCCCACATACAGGTGGTGTTAGGGTCTTTTTACAGCAAGGAACAGTGAAGACAGGAAATACCATCTCTTCCTGAAACCAGTGCAAATGAAACTGGCCTTTGACCTGCTGGTGCCAGCATCTACATATTCTGCCCATTCACGAGACCTCACAAGAGATGGAGGTAACAGGATATACCTCAGGCCAGAGGAAGTTTGGAGAAGGGGCTGTCTGCAATGGAAAAAAATCTAAATTTTAAGTTCTACTTTAGTACCACTTACATGTTGACACCCCCAAGGTGCTTTTCCAAGAATACTATCTTTTACCTCAAAAATATGCAGCAGTTTGGTATTATTCTCTTTGCTTGCCACCAAATTTCTCTGTATTACTACTGATTATACAGTTTTCTAAAATAATCAAGACCCCTATTTTTCATTTTCATTTTTTAAATATAAGCTCTTATTGGGCTGGGGAGATGGCTCAGTGGAATAAGCGCTTCCCTGGCAAGCGCAAGGGCCTGAGTTCAATCCCAGTTTCCACAAAAAAAAAAAAAAAAACACCTCTTATTTTATAAATAGCTAACTTAGGTAGAAATATTGTAAGCAGTCAGACAGAGGGCCGGCCAAATGGCTCAGCAGATTAAAGCGCCTACAAGCAGGCACAGGGGCGGGAGTTCGATCCCCAGGCCTGCTGTGCCAGCCCCACCCCCAAGGCTCATTGAGACTGGACATGGTGGCACACACCTGTAATCCCAGCTCTTGGGAGGCTGTAAACAGGCAGATCACTACGAGTCCAATCTAGTAATGAGACCCTGAACACCCTATAGACCCATCTCTAAAATACAAAAACATAAAAAAGTTGTCAGATAGGGTAGGTCCTCGAGGATGAAAACACAGCACCACCAAGGGCAGTTCGAAGGCCAAATCTTTAACCATGAGTTTCTAACTGTCCCACGAGTACGCTATTCCTTGGTAGGAAGAGATTTACCAACAAAATTTGGGCCAATTCTCAAATTCCAACAAAGGCCTTGAGTCTATGACCTCTCCCTCTACATTTCAGAAAGAGGGAAAATTGCTTTGGGTGTCTTGATCCAACAGCTAGGGCAGAGACTAGAAGTTCTGACTCCCCATCAGGACAGAGCTATTCTGGAGATAAAAGGTTACTTGTGGTTCACAGGGGAACAACTTAACCTATCAGGTCATACTCTTAGACATCTCTGAGGTTATAATCAAAACTTGTACTACCCTTAATGCTGCCTCTTTGATGCCTAGATCCCAAAAGTTAGTCACTTTTATGAACAAGGGATCCTCAAGACTGTAATGGGGTTGTCAACTCGAGAAGTTTAGAAGTTTAAGCCACACAGCAGGGAGTCACTTCGTAAACATCCTCATCTTATGGCATAGTGTGAGTGCTACACCTGTCCTACAGGGGTGGCCTGCTTACAATCTAAGGGGAGAAAAGAGGCTTATCTTCCCCACATGTTTGCTCTTCTTATTTTTGCTGCCTTCTGCCACCTTGAAGTGCTTCCCCTGTGCATTGCCACCTATTGGGAAATGATGGAACCTGTGAAAGGCAGGGCCAATTAGATCTTAGGTAGCTGGGGCACAGCACAGGAGAACACATGGACCCTGTTCTCCTCTTACTCTGTGTGCCTGGCTGCCATGAAGTAAGTGCTCCTCCACTACATGCTCCCACCATGATCTATCACCTCCTCAATGGAAGCAACTAACCAGAGACTAAATCCTCCAAACCTGAGCCAAGTAAATCTTCTCCTAAGTTTATTTACCTCAAGAATTTGTTACGGCAACAGAAAGCTGGCTATCACAATGTACAGAAACCCCACCTTGACCAATGATATGGTTTGTTTCTGGATGTCCCCTAAAGCCTCATGCAGTCGGGAAGGTGCTTTTCCGAGGCAGCTGAAATCTAGAGTTGGGGACTGACTCATGGTCTAGTGCTGGGATTATGGATGTGAATGCTGTAAGAACCCTACAGTGGACAGCCTATGTACAATATATGGGACAGAAATTTCTTCTCTCGCACTCTTCCCTGTTAGCTCGTTGCTTTTGCTGTTTTCTACTATCATGAACTGCTGAGCCCTGCCATGTTCCCCTCTGCCTTGGAACCAGCTGAGTACGGACTGCAACCTTCACAAACTGTGAGCTAACTAAACCTTGCCTTCCTTAATTCTGAGCGTCAGGTATTTTGCCTCAGCAACAAAAGAAAAATAACCAAAACAACCAAGGTCACAGATTTTAGCCAAGAACATTCCATAACAAGCCATAAAACAAAAAAATTACCCAAGAAAAGAACATATGGCCAAAGCCTTAAGAAATCACTGGCAAAATGAAGAGACTGAAAACTCCCAACCCTCCCTTTAGTCAATACAACCCCTACAATACTCAAAAGGAAAGAAACCAGCTAACATAGCAGAAAATCGCTGCACATACCTGTACGATGTCCCAGTTCATTTCTACCTCCTCTTTAATAGTGTCGCTTGCTGGATACGTGACAGGCTGCCCCTGAGGACACATCTCCGTCTTCATTCTCTTTAATGGAGGCTGGCCAAACGTGAAGTCATCTTCATTCTCCTCTTTCTTACAGACACCTTCCCCCATGGCACTTGTTGATGGTATCTCTGTACCATCCACCAAGTTGCTCACTTTGCTGGCTTCATCATCAACTTTTAGCTTTTTGGCCCTCTGAGCTGAATTTTTCCGTTTTGTCTTTGCTGTCTTCACAGTCTGTACAGTATTCAATTTATTATCTTCCAAATCAACGTCAGCAATAGCTATGGACCTATTCTATCAAATCACAGAAAGACATCAGAATTAGAGGATTAAAAACTAACTCCCCTGAGCTGGGAATAGTGGCACATGCCTATAGTCTTAGCACTCAAGAGGAGGATTGCCACAAGGTCAAGGCCAGGCTGTGCTACACAGTGAATTCAAACCCAGTCTGAACCTCATAGCTACAGCCTGTCTCAAAAAAGAAAAATAAAACAGAGAGAACTACAATAAAAGCACTTTCACCCTAACGCCCAGCACTATGTGAGCATGAAAATGATATACATTAGATGGCCATCTAACTAGTAAATATTTTACTTGAAATACAATGGACCAAAATAGAGGTAGGAGCTGGTTACAGTGGCACATGCCTGTAATCCCAGCACTCCAGAGGCTGAGATAGGAGGCTGCAAGTTCAAGGTCAGCTTGGGTTACACAGTGAGTTCAAGGTCACAGTGAATTAAGACTATGTAGCAGGACTGTCAAAAACAAAAGAACAGATAGGAATATAACAATGAGAATATAAGAATTGATAATAACCAAATGAATTGGCACAATTAAAGAAAACATGTGTCAATCTATAAGGAGAGCTGTCAGCCACAGAGGAACAGAAAAATAAGATAAAAAACAAATACGATCAGTATCTCTTCTAAGTAATATGCAAGAGGGAAAAAAAAAATCTCAGCAGATAAAGTCTGAGTATTTTATTCCCCCTAGTAAGAGAACCCTGCTCTGAAATGGATACTTCAATTACCTTAGCTACATACAATTAAAACATTTATTGGTACTGTGACAAACACAGAGCCCAGTAGCCCTTCAATAAGCCCAAATGAACACATCTAATTCTATTCTGAATCCATGTTCATTAAGCAAATTTCTGATTCACATTTAATATTCTACTTAGGTCAGCCAGACTGCAAGGAGAAAAACTGCTGGCCACAGAATGCCAAGTGCTTGTGATGATTACTTCAAAGTATTCATTAAACCAGCACTCTGGATGTATATGTCACTCTTGTGAACATGGCTGATGCAAAAGGTCCATGAGAGATCTACCAGTTCCTGAAATGCTGACTTGGAAACCCAGTTCCATCACTTGCTGACTGTGTGTTTTGAGCCAAGTCATTACACATCTCTTGCCTCAGTTTTCTTATCTGTACAGTCAGGATAACAAAAAAAACTTGCCCCAAAGGTAAAATCATATTAAAAAAATGTTGAAGATGGCCAGGAATGGTGGTGCACCTCTATAATTCCAACAACTCACAGAGACTGAGGCAGAAGGATCACTGGGAGTTGAAGGTCAGCCTGAGCTACAAAGTGAGCTCAAAGCCAGCCTAAACTGGAAAGTGAAACCTTAAAAAAAAAAAAAAAAAAAAAAAACAGTGTTAAAGATGTTACTCAGCTAAGGAGAGCAGAGCAAACAGAAGTCAGATGAAATAAGCGCTTCCCTAGCAAGCGCAAGGGCCTGAGTTCAATCTCCAGTTACGCAAAAAAAAAAAGAAAGAAAAGAAATCCGATGAAGAAACAACAGTGGAATCTAGTGGTAGGTATTAGGAGACTCATGACAAGGGACACCATTGCCCATAGTTTTTGTCAGGTTCAGGCTCTGTCCTACTCTGTGAATGAAGGAAGTAACACCCCCACAGGAGAATCCTTCATCCTTCCCCACCAAGCCACAACACCTACCAGCTCCTCCTTAACTGCCACACCCTCTGAGCCAGCACTTAGCAGGGCTGTGTCTTTTTTCCTCCGAGGCATCCTCTTGGGTTTGGATTCCTTGGGAGCAGGCTGTTTCCCGGGCTCTGGGAACTTTCTTTTGAGGCTCCCAAACACTATCGTCTTTGTCATCTTCTTCAGAGGCAGATGATCTACCATTAAATTGACAGAAAAAAATTCCAGGAAAAACAAAGGCAAATGTCAAAAGTATATTAAAAAAAGACACATGCTTCTTAAATAATAGCACCAATAAAGTCAGAAGTATTTAAGATAAAATGCAGTGATATAAGCATGAGCTGTGAACAGCTACTGCTAAGAATTAAAACAACAAGGTTCATTACAAATTAATATAAAAATCATCCTTAATCATACAAAATAGTTTTCGGGGTTTTTCTCAGGGTCTCACTGCAGTTCAGACTGGCCTTGAGTTCCCTTTGTAACCCAGGCATGTCTCTATCTCTTAATAATCCTCCTGCCTCGGAGGCCTCTGGAGTGCTGGGATTACAGCTGTGCACCACCACACCCAGCCTATGCACAGTAAATCACAGTTCTCTTCATTTTGTGTCACTTGACAGCAAGTGCTCCCTGTTCTTTCATGAAACTGGAAATCACGAACCACCTTAAGTAACCTACTTAAGTACAGGTAGAAATGAAGGACCTGAGAGTCACTCTCTTCCCTCCACTTAACTGTAAATACCGATGGTTATTCCTGCTTCCATTATCCTAAGAGAGACACAAAATGAAATAACAAAACCCTAAACCCTAAGAGATGCCACACCCTAAGTGGCAAAAAACTGGCACCAAGGGAGATGCAGTGGGAGCCACCTGATGCCAGCCATGTCTGGCCTTCAAACTCTGAAAGTCCAAGTTATCAGCCCTGGTTTCCCTTCTCCCTTTTTCCTGTTCCTGCTGCCGCTATCTTTCCCATAATCCTCAATTAGTGTAGCTACTTTCTACTACTGGGTGTACACCTAGCAACTCTTTCCTCACCGACACAAGCACTGGGACTCCTACTGGCCCATGCAACTGTAGCATCTCACATCACAGTCAATGTAAGCTCTCCAATTTTAACAATGAAAAGCACTTAAATACCCATGTACTAATCAAATCCTTTAAATTGTATTAAGTTATTGAATTCAATGATATGAGTAGAAAACGGCTCTAGGAAACACCCCAATTACATAAAAATTTAACCACAAGACCCAGCTGTTTTTATTAACCCTTTTTTTCTTTCAGAGAATGAATTTGTCTCCTGATTAGATAGGATCAGGTATAGCTATCATAATTCCCTAACCACAAATCAAATTCACAGTAAGAGCAGAGGAAAAAGTCAGGATCAATGGTGCATGTTTGTAATCTTAACACTCAGGAGGCTGACACAGGAAAATCTTGAGCTCAAGTCCAGCTTGGGCTACCTAGGGAGACTCTGTTTCAAGAAAGAGGAGAGGAGAAGAAGGGAGGGGAGGGGAGGGGAAGAGAGGGGAAGGAAGGAGAGGAGAGGGGAGAGGAGAGGAACCACAAGTGCAGCAAAAAAGCACCCTTGTGAACTCAGGGTAAGGAATACTGTGCTCCTCCCCACCTAGTTAATTTTATTTCTATCCTAATATAAGAGGTCAGGCAGATGGCAAGGATGACTTCTCCCTTCAGGGACACTAGTGAATAGGAATGTCTGGTTTTTGAAAGGTTTATGTTTTGCCTAGAAGCAAAAACCTGATTGGCTAACTTCTTAGCTAGGAAACTGTAATTATGATGGGCCAAACTACTAATCTCCTCAAAGTGAGCTCTTTTCAGAGGCAGATGCTAAGCCTAAGACTAAACAAAAACAAAAACAAAAAAAAAAAGACACAATACCAATGGACAAAAAATAAACTAGAATTAGAAAAACAGGCTCCCTCCTACTGCTCCCAAACCAAAGAGGAAGGCCTTTTTTTTTTTTTTTTTTTTTTTTTTTTTTTTTTTTTTTTTTTTGCGGAACCGGGGATTGAACTCAGATCCTTGCGTTTGCCAGTCAAGCGCTTATCCTACTAAGCCATCTCTCCGGCCCCTGAGGAAGGCCTCTTTTCATCTCAGTTTCACCACTTACCAAGCAGGTGCCCTGACTAACTTGTGTCACACGGGAATGTTACCAAAAGCAAAGGGGTCTTCTTAACCATGAAGGAAACACAAGTGCTAGAATCATTTCTTACACAGAAAACGATCTGGAGGCTGCCACTCAATGCTCATTCCTGTCACAGGTGAGGTCTGACACTCCTCTGCAAACAGGTCCTTTGGGAAACCCCCTGCCCTAGTTTTGCCTCCTATAGGCTCAAAGTTTTCCCTTTGGCTCTCTAACCTCTAAATGCTGGAGCCTCCCTAGACAAAGTTCTCAGCATTCTCTTCTTGCTCTTTTGCTGCTCATCTATCTTGTCTTATGATCCAATACTGGAACCTCAGTTTGTTTTGGTACCAGGTATTCAACTCAGGATCTTGTGTTTGCCAGGCAGGTGCTTAGGCCTGCTGAGCTGTCTCCCTGGCCCCTGGAATGTCAGTTTTTATCTCCAATTTGAACTTTCCCCCAGGCCCAAGATCTGTATGTATATCCACTTTCACATGAGCTCTAACAATCACCGCCCACTTAGCAAGTCCAGAGGTGGACTCCTGAGTCTACCACATTTACTCCCCATCTTTCCAAAATGCCAGTCTTTCCTTCACAACCCAAATGTAAATGATGGTGTAATCAATCACCATCATATCCTACCTTCAAAATTCAACCATTTCCCATCATTTTCACTTTTAGAACCTTAGGCTTCTACAATCATTTCCTAATCCCAGCTCCCTACTCTGCTTCTATTCTACACTTTCTCTCTGTCTCTCTATCTCTGTCTCTGTCTCTGTCTCTCTCTCATACACACACACACAGTCTGTTCTCCGCCAAGAAGCCAGAACACTTCCCAAATGTAAACCAAGTCACACCCCTGCCCACAATCCTCCAGTGGTAGCCCTGCCCACTTCAAATGAAACCCCAGTACCTTCTCACAGCTTCTTAGATCCTACCCATTCCGATCTCATTTCCTATCCGTCTCTGCCAGCAACTCTGAACTGGCCACACTGGTCTCCTTGCTGCTCCCAACACATCAAACTCCCTCCTGTTCCAAGACCTTTGCATTTGCAGCTCTCTCTACTTGGAACATGTTATAGTTTGTGTTCAGATGTCCCCCCAAAGCCTCATGTTACAGGCAGGGCTTTTTCAGAGATGGCTGAATCTAGAACATGTGATGATGGGATTAGGGGTATGGGATTACTACATCAGTCCACTGATTGCTTTGCTACCCGCCCTAAGCCTAAAATGACTATAAAAGGGGCGGGAAGAAGCTGCTATTATTGGCTGGGGATATAGCTCAGTGGCACAAGTGCCTGCCTGGCAAGTGCAAGGCCCTGGGTTTGACTCCTGGTACAAAAAAAAAAAGAAAGAAGAAGAAGCTGCTATTACTGCTTGTGTTGCTTGCTTTGTTTCCTTCTGCCTGCCATGAACTGTTTTGTCCTCTGCAATGCCTGTCTATGATGCCACCCTGCCTTAGAGCTACTAGCTGATTCTGGACTAAAACCTCTACAAACTATGAGCTAAAGAAACCTCCTCCTTTAGCTTCGGGTTTTGAGTATTTCGTTTCAGCAATGAGAAAAAGTAAGTAGGACAGGACACTAATCCCCAAGATCTTTGCATGGAGCTTTGCATCGAGTTGCATTTCTGTGTTTGTCAGCGGGTGCATTAAAACAAAATACCTGAAACAACTAATTTAATAAAGTGATATAGTTTAGTTATCTCACAGTTTGTGGTTCAATTCTAAGATCAGGCAGCCCCATTATTTGGGGCCTCAGATGAAAATAAGAAATAGAAAAGGCAAAAAAAAAAAAAAAAAAGAAATGGAAAAGGTATAAGTATACATCAGAGAAAATGTTCACATCAAGGACATAACAAAGAAAAACAAAAGCCGGGCATGGTGGCACATGCCTAAAATCCCAGCACTTGGAAGGCTGAGGTAGAATAGTTGTGAATTCAAGACCAGCCTGGGCTACAAAATGAGTTCAATGCCAGCCTAAGCTGCGTAACGAGACCTTGTCTCAAAAAGACAAAGAAGGAAGGAAGGATGGACGGACGGACAGACAGACAGAAAGACAGAAAGAGCGAGTGAGCAAGTAAGCCCAGGTCCCAGTCCCCTAAGAGGATCATCCTAGACACAAAGCCCTCGCATATAAATCTCTAAGGAACACTTATCTTCTTCTTTTTTTTTTTTTTTGTATTTTTTTAGGGAAGGGTCTACAGGGTGTTTAGGGACTCACTACTAGATCAGACTCGTAGTGATCTGCCTGCTTACAGCCTCCCATGAGCTGGTATTACAGGTGCACGCCACCATGCCCAGTCTCAATTGCGGTCTCAGTGCACCCTGGGGGCAGGGCTGGCACAGCAGGCCTGGGGATTGAACCCCCAGCCCCTGCGCCAGCTTGAGAAACACTTATGTCAATAGTTGCAATTCCTAAATCTCATTTAGACCTCTTGCTACATCCTCCAAACAACTATCTACCAGCACACCCTGGCCAACTACTCAACGTGCTCTCTGACCAGTCTCACACTTTATTTTTCTTTACAATACTTATTTTGACCTAATATTATTCATTCATTTCTTTAACAATACCTTAAGAGCACCTAATACAATCCTCCACAGCAAAGATTCTCAAATGGGGACAATTCCCACACATGCCCATTTGGGCCTGTCTGAAGACTTTTTGATGGTTACTAGAGGAGGTGCTACAGGTATCTAGTGGATAGAGGCTACGGATGCTACTAAACACCATACCCAACACAAGACAGCCCCACAACAAAGAAGTACCCTGCATACTATGACAGTGGTGTAGAGATTGAGCAACAGTGCACTAAATCAGTGAAAAGGAAAAACTCACTCTTCTCATGGAGCTTAAATACTTTATATACTTAGTTGGTTCCTTTCCATCTTTATTTAACACTTTATTACCAACATCAGAGCCTAGAACACAGCATGAGTTCAACAAATATTTGTATGACCGAATGAATGAAAAAAAACACAGTATTCTTTCACTAGCTTGTGACAGATGCGATATTCCTTAAATATTCACCATTCCCCACCATCATAATAAACCAATATGCTTACAGCTCAGAGAAATAAGAAAACTCATCTTGGGGCACTGTAGTCTGGACCTGTATCTTTGCTCTTCTTGGCAATGAGGACATCTGAAAGAGAGTGAACACAATGTCAGCAGGACCAAAGGTCTGATCACTTCAGCTTGCTACAAAATAGTTGCTCTTCAGAACTATTGTCAGGGAGACAGCTCAGCAGCATAAGCACCTGCCTGGCAAGTGCAAGGTCCCAAGTTTGATTGTTTCAACAGTTCTACCGCTAAACAGTCAGTCAAACCAAAATACTTACTGGGTCGAGAAATCATTGGAAACATGAGAGCCATACTAACTGACTGGCTGGTACAGGTTCAGATGAAATTCAGGTTGCTACAGGAGACCATGTGCATGACTGTGTCCATTATTGATCGGTTCATGCAGAATAATTATGTGCCTAAGAAGATGCTGCAGATGGTTGGAGTCACTGCCATGTTCTGCCATGTTCATTGCAAGCAAATACGAAGAAATGTACCCTCCAGACATTGGGGACTTTGCCTACGTGAGTAAGAACACTTACACTAAGCGCCAGATCAGGCAGATGGAAATGAAGATCCTGAGAGTTCTAAACTTAGGTCTGGGTCACCCGCTCCCCCTGCACTTTCTTCATAGAGCACTTAAGATTGGAGAGGTCAATGTTGAGCAACATACATTGGCCAAACACCTGACGGAGCTCTCTATGTTGGACTATGATACGGTGCACTTTCCTCCTACTGAAATGGCAGCAGGAGCTTTTTGCTTAGCACAGAAAATGCTTGACAACGGTGAATGGACGCCGACTCTGTGGCATTACCCGCTGTACACCGAAGAGTCTCTTTTTCCTGTAATGTAGCACCTGACTAAGAATATAGTTGTGGTCAATCGTGGGCTTACAAAGCACATGTCCATCAAGAACAGGTATGCCGCCTCAGAGCATGCTAACGTCAGCACTCTAGCACGCTAAATTGTGCATCAGTTGAAGACTTGGCCAAGACTGTGGCAGAAGTGTAACTTGTAAGCTTAAATACTCTATCTGCAAATAAAATTGGCACCATGTGCCACTGGTACATACTATACTGCATTAACAGACTTTAATAACGATTGTGAGCCTTTTCATTTTTTACACCTTAACTGGAAATGGTTACGCATTTAGTTTCTATTCTAGGGTAACCTAAACACTTGCTTTAAAGGATAGGTGGGACTATGCTTAAAAACTGCTTCTAGTTTCCCAGGGGATGCAGCTCATGTAGAATCATTGCCTGTATGTCTGCATGTATACTTGGTTCTTTTTTGTGTACCTGGCTTTTAGTGTGAATGAAGCTGATGCCTAAAGCTGTGCCTTCAGTAGGGTTCCTGCATGTAAGCCACTGCAGCATCTGGAAGGATCTCCTGCCTTGTTCTCCTTTAAAGTAAAAAGGCCACTTCTCCCTAATCCTCCATGCCACCTCTCTTCTGCTGTTTCTAGTGGCTGCTGTCCTAAGTCTAAATAAACTACATTAATCATTAAAAAAAAAAAAAAGTTCTACCGCTAAAAATGCCATAGTGAAAACCAGAGGTTTACTGGGGATTTAGTTCAGTGGCACAGCATAGTGCCTGCCTGGCATGGGTGAGGTCCTGAGTTTGATTCCAGGTATGAAGGAAAGGAAAGGAAAGGAAAGGAAAGGAAAGGAAAGGAAAGGAAAGGAAAGGAAAGGGGTTTATTCCCAAACTTTAACACTTGTCTTCCATGCTACAGACCTATCAATTAGAAGGTCTATAGCTGAGAGCCAGGCCTGGTGGTACACATCTATAATCCCAGTGCTCTGAGAGGCTGAAGCAGAGGATCATAAATTTGAGCCCACCCTGGGAACCTCACTGACCTAGCAAGACTTTGTCTCAAGATAAAATATAAAGGTTCTGTCAATCTTCAACAGGAAAAAAAAAAAAAAAAAAAGCAGTTAATAGCCTACCAACAGTTTTAAATGCTTTATGTGTATGGACCATCTTTTGAAAAATATAAGCTCCCAAAGATTAACTCTTAGGTTTTCTTGAATTATATGCTAGAAGTATCCTGCAAATATTATTTAATGATGATACCATTAGTTAGCAAATTACAAACTATATGTCAAAGATAAACAACATTTTCTTTCTTCTAAATCTTTTTTTTTTTTTTAATTATTTTTGCAGAACCAGGGATTGAACTCAGGCCCCTGCGCTTGCCAGGGAAGCAATTATTCCACTGAGCCATCTCCCCAGCCCCACTCTTCTAAATCTTTTTAAGAGTATAAAGTAGAAGCATCTCTACATCCCTGGCAGTCAAATAATTGCTGATTGAATATACAGCCCTAAAACAAGATAAGCAGTCTCTTACAATAGAAGTTCCTAAACTTAAATAAAGTGATTAAATACCATGCTACTAAAAATATTTACCAGGGCTGGCCAACTAGCGCAGTAGATTAAAACACTTGCAAGCAGGCACAGGGGCCGGGGGTCGATCCCCGGGCCTGCCGTGCTGGCCCCGCCCTTGGGGCACACTGAGACAGCAACTGAGACTGGGTGTGATGGTGCATGCCTGTAATCCCAGCTCTTCGGAGGCTGTAAACAGGCAGATCACTGAGTCTGATTTAGTAATGAGGCCCTGAACTCCCTGTGGACACTTCCCTAAAAATACAAAAATAATAATAATAATAATAATAATAATAAGACAAATAGCAAAATGGTTTTTTTTTTTTTTTTTTTTTGTGGAACCAGGGATTGAACCCAGGCCCTTGCACCTGCCAGGCAAGCATTTATTCTACTGAGCTATCTCCCCGACCCTGAAAATAGCAAGGAGAATCAAATAATTCCGAAAGTAAATAAATTTACTTAAATCGATTATGCTAAGATTTCTTACCTAAAAAAATGGATATCAAACTGCATTATGTTGACATGACTGGAACCCTTAAACATGTTCCTAAACCAGTAATATTTTCTAGTATCTATATTTTTAACATTCACCTAGAAAAGAAAGTAATACCTCACAGAAATACTAAAGGAGTTGTCACAAAAGGAAACATGCTCTCCCAAGAGCTATACCTTAACTCTTTCAGTAAGTGCAGAACTACAGAGCAGAATAATACTTACAGGGCACCAGAAGATAAGGAAAAATGATAAGGAAGACAGGATAATCTTCCATCTTTCCTTCACTCCCTTTTGGTCACTTTTATGGTTATGCAGATCAGCTTTCACTAAATGAATAGTTCTAGATAATGATTTAAGGGAACAAGGAACTGTGATTCCCTGTTATGTGTATTTTACTACCATAAAAAATAAAACAGGCAAATGGCATATGCCTTTAATCCTACTTGCTCAGGAAGCAGAGGTAGGAAGACCTCAAGTTCAAGGGCAACCTAGAGAACTTCAGACTTGATTACAAA